AGAGTGACTCTTACTTAAGAAGTGATTTACAAATTCAGGAGATTTTCCCAAAGAAATCCTGATGCCCACAGAACAGTTGTTTCAGCAAAAATGGATAGGAAAGTTTTGGAGTGTTCTTAAAAGTCTACCTGGAAGTATTTAATTTCCTCTCATAAGGAACTATTTTGAGTTAAACTGTAGAAGACTGGAAGAATGTGAAACCACACATGCATAAGAAATTACTACAATTTATCTGGACATAAGATAGTAGTTACATTAAATGGTTCACACTCTCTCAGAAGTTGACTCACAGTCATTTGAGTTTTGGGAGAAAAAGGAAACATCCCTACTGAATAGCACTTAAAAAGGCAGGCTTATAAAGGACACAAGACTTACCTGGCAGTTTTGTAGAATAGCAACTATTACAAATACTAACCTATGGCTTTTACTGTTGTGAAGAATTTCACATCTGGAGAAGAAAAGAACACCCTAAGTTGCAGTTGTAGCTGTAGGACAACTACCATAGTTTGATTCACCAGAGGTGGATGCTTAGCAGGTGATGTGGAATCAGCACTGCAAATGTACTTGTTAAATTTCTTCAGTTCAGTCAATACAGATAAAGTGCACTCTTCTGCTTACAGTTTCTGTACAGCACCCCATGGCCATCCAAGTGGCAGCTGCGGAATGCACAGTGCCTGACCTAGGTACTCGAGGTATGTCTCTTTCAGAAACAGACCACAAAACACTAGAATACAGTTTCCCCCTCACTCCCCCTGCAAAGAGTTGTTTCAGGCTGCTTGTATCAGAACAAGTATACAGATCAGCTAACTTAATTTTTTTTCCTATTAGTGTTCACCATTTCCCCTCATTGTGCTTACATCATCACCAGATTTCAACTTCTTCCCCACTTAATAGAATAAAGCCAAAATAGCTCTCTAACACTTTTGTTTTGTTTCAACATTACTTCCTTCAACTTCAGGTTCTGGTTTTTGTTTTGGAATCTAGGCAACTTAAAAAAGCCTCCCTGTTAGGAAGTACAAAACTCCATGGATAGTAACAGAGGGAATTTACCAGTCTTAAGTTACCGCACTGCTCTGGATAATATTTCTGCTCTCAGACGACGATAATTCTTGCATACCTTTCAGCTCATGGCATCACCTGCAAGCCAGTCAGTCTCACTGGGAAAGCTAGTTGTTCAGCAATAATCATTCAGAAATATATGGAAAGCCTCTGCTACTGTGTTCATCAATGTACAATTGTACCATCTTAGGTAACACAGCACTTAATATATATATAATGCCTAAAAGCCTTCTTTTGTTAGGATTATATCTATAAAATGAATTCTGCTTGCTTTCAGATAGTGCATGCAAGCAGTGGGAGAAAATAACCTGCTTTGCTGCCCACGCCAATTTGGAAAGACCAGATTTATGCATATAATCACACCACTGGTGACAGCTCCTACCATTGTCAACAACTTGCAAGCCCCATTCACTTTGGTAGGACTGACAGATGCTCAGATTTACTAAGAGTCTGTCAATACTGTTTTCCTGCCTCTGCTGCTTACTCGTGACATCTCATGACAAACTTTGTTCAAGAGGGTAGGATGGTCCGCATGGTGGGAACTGAAAAAATGTTTTTAAAATCTTCCCAGATTGTTTTCTAATGCCATTGTTAAAGGAGTGTGACCTTAACTCTTCTCCACTTCATTTTGTCTCCTCTTTTCCTGTCCCCACCGCTCTACATTAGTCAGGCACTTATTTTCAGATAAACAACAGATAAGCAGAACAACCATTTCAGCGGAATGCACCTTCACCTGTCACCCAGTTGACTGACTGTGACTCCTGTGTGTTATGCTGCTGACTATTGAGCAGTGAGCTGGTCACGTGGACCTATGTGAAGGGAAGAAAATACAGTCTCAGACAGCATTTTAGAGTCCTTTAAAACTGCATTGTCGTTCCAAACAGCTCTGAGTAATTTCCTTCCCTGCCTACTCTTTTAAGAGCATTTTCCTGAACAGAAGCATTAGCAATGCCACAATCTTGCATTGTACTTTTGTCAGTAGGCTTCAAAGACCTTCAGGTTTTCTTCCCTGTTTCTCAGGTGAAATGCAAGCTGAGCAGGAACTGTGTGGGGCTAGCTGATAGAGTGCAGGTCAACAGAGAGCCAAGCCACAGCTCTAGTTCCTAACTCCAGGGTGCCCATTTTATGTCAAGGTATGGGCTAACTTCATACTGGCACAATACCAGCTTCCCCTTTTAGAAAGGTCCTCGGAAGCATGCAGATGTAAGATGGGATGAACAGTCCAGGTGTGGTAGACTGTTGCCATCACCTTTCACAGGTGCTTAGAATCAATTCTCTTACAGGGTGACTTGTGGCATGACAGAAGAGCACAGAGCCTCCAAGAAAAAGGATGAATCTTTTCGTTCCCTGTGGCCCACCCACACACAGTCTTAGTGCTTGAGGGCAGTTAGAAAATAATGAGCGTGTCCACATGTAACCTCCATCTGCCAGCACAGTAGGATACTACACATATGTAGGCAAAAGGACCATGGCACATCTGATATTAAAAGCAGTTATAAGACCCTTTACATTGAAGTGTTTAAGACTCATCTTGCACATAGAAAGTTTAATCCCATCTCAAGGCAGCTGTGTATCAAAATCAGACCATATATAAATGCACAGCATCCACTGGCAACATTTAGAGCTGTGTGCTCTTCCCAAGAAGGGGATTTTCCTCACAGTTTTCTTCCCTCCCCCATTCATTCTCAAGAATATCTAGAGCACATAAATACAGCTTGCTTTTTCTCCCATGGTAAGATTGTAATTATGACTAAGTTCATAATTCAACTTGCTTATACAACTGCAAAATGCTGATTAAAAGGAATATCTGATCTGTTTGGAGATAGATTTATGTGAAAAGTGGTAAAGAAAAACAGCCTTTAAGAATATTAACAGAAGTCACATATTACACCGTGTTCCAGTTTAAAAAAATTGTCACAACCAGTAGGCATTTCTGCTCCAGCTTCCAAGAGGCTACATTCATTTCTGCATGCCTGCTTTTCTCCTCTAGGCAGGCTACAAAATCCAATCCCACCCCAAAGCAATGCTCTCAGCTAAGGACTGGGTCTCACTGGGAAA